GAGACCATGGGGCTAGGGAGGGAAAGGACAGAAGCTCTGTCCTGCCTGGGAAGAACAGAATTCTGGACTGGCGGGAGCAATACGCAGAGCCCTGGGCAGACAGGGCCAGGGTCTGGGGAAGTGCTGGCTGGGGGCGGAGGACAGGGGGCTGAGCCTCTCTGCTTGGCTTGCCTCCCTACAGTTCGACGCAGACAGGGACGGCCGGATCACTGTGGCTGAACTGCGGGCGGCGGCCCCCGCGCTGCTCGGGGAGCCCCTGGTGGGGCCGGAGCTGGAAGAGATGCTGCGGGAGGTTGACCTCAATGGAGATGGACACGTGGACTTTGATGGTGAGCAGAGCCCCCACCCCCATCCAACACGCTCCCGTAACGCTCTGCTCCACCCCACCCTCCCCCTTCCAGCGGCTCTGATGCCTCACCCGCTCTCTCGCCTCCCCTCTCCCCCAGAGTTCGTGATGATGCTGTCGGCCCGCTGAGCTGAAGGTCCCCGGACCCCAGGTAGCCTCCAGTGCGCCAGAGGACAGACAAGGCCCCGCGTTCTTTCTGCTCGTGACATCGTCTGACTGGATGGCCTGCTTCTGACGCCCCTGGGTGCCCCGATGTTTCCCCCGTCACTTGCTGGAATTCCCCTGCCCCGGGCACTCACCTCCAGCCCTCGCCTCAGTTCTACAGATGAGAAAACTGAGGCCCAGAGAAAGGAAGGGGAGCAGCTCAGCTCCGAGAACCCCTGACACCTGCCTCATCTCTGCAGCCCCTCCTGACATCTAGAACCAGAGAACCTGAGTTCAAATCCTGCTTCTGGCACTGACCACCTGTGTGACCTCAGTTTCCTCACCTACAGAATGAGGAGATTGGAGGGGACAGCCTCTGAGGTGCTCCCAGTCACACGGAGTTAATGGCAGAGCTGGGATTTGAATCCAGTCCCTCGACTCCAAGTCCAAGGTTATTTGCCGCCCATCTGTCCTGCCCAATGGAAGCCTCACCTCCTCCAGGAAGCCCTCCTTGACTCACTCTGGAGGATCCCTTCTCACAGTAGGTCTCACACTGTCCCAGAGCCTCTAACTGTGCCCTGCCTGTGCGTCTGGTCTCTGCAAGGATGGAGGGTGAGTTTTGACTCCTTTTCCTTCTCCTGCCTCCCTGACCTTAGCCCACCAAGGACTGGGCACTAGCACTGGCACCAGCTGGTACTTGCTGAATTGTCTGAGTGAATGTGGAACCAGCGAGGGTCATAGCAATAGGAAGGGCAGGGACAGGAGGGATGCTGTTAGAGCCATTGGGAATTGACCAGATATCTTCATTGGCTGCCCCGGGGCCCTGGGACTTCCTCCTCATTGGCTGCCTTGGCCCATCTCCCCAGATGCCCCGCCCGCTCTGATCTCACTCCCTCTGCTTGCCCCGGGCCCATAGCCAGGATCAGAGGACACCATCCATCTGCTTGCCCTGCCTTTTGTCCTCCATCTGTCCCAAGAAGAGGCCAGGAAAGAGGTCTCTGGATCAGCAGGCGCCAGTTTCTTAAGAGTGTCCCACATTCTGGGATGGTTCTGATGGGCCCCGGGGGAGCCAGCATCAGGCTATGAACCAGGACACTGGCCTCCAATTCCCACCTCCACGTCATTCTCTCTGGGTGCCCTTGGCCCCGGGGCATCCAAAGCAATAGCCCAGCTGCCACCATTGGGCCGGGAAGAAGCAGGGGCTGCTAGCCTGAGAAGGTTCTTTAGACAAGGAAGACCCCAGACTCCTTGGGAAAAGAGGCCATGCTGATCAAGCGCCCCAGGTGAGGAGGGGACACGGGTGCTGTGAGGCCAGGTCCTAAGGCTAGTGGTCCCAGACACAGCTTCTGGTAACAGATGTAGACCACCTTTGGAGGAAGCAGGAAGTGGGGCCTCGAGGTACAGAACAGCCCCTGAGGTCCAGGGCAGGGAAGGAGCGTCTGGGCTGGAGGGAGAGAAAAGGACAGGACTCCAACTGCTTTTTCTTTTTCACTTCACAAGCCTTTCCTTTCTCCCTGGGTTCCAAATCCAGCTCCTACTAGAAATGCCTACAAGGCACAGGACCCTAGAACTTGAGAGTAGGAGGGGACCTCAGTGGCATCTCATTGGGTCCATGTACAAGAAGTCTCCCCACTAGAACACCAGGCAGGTGTCCGCCAGCCTCCATGGTGGTCACCTCCCGTCCCTGGCCTTGCAGCGGGGAAAACCTGGGCTCCTAAGAACTCCTGCTTTATGCAATGCTTTTAGCCATGTTACTGCTGGAGACAGGAGTTCTTAGTCCCCCATTAGACAGATGAGGAAACTGAGGATAGGAGAGGTTAATTCAATTGCTTACCTATTATCTGCATATCTAGTCAGTGTTGGAGGCAAGATTTGACTTCATCTTCCTGACTGAACACTCTATCCACTGGGCCATCCAGTCACCCTACAGATCCTGCCTTTGACAGCTGATGAGCTGTGACCTTGGGCAAGTCACTTAAATTATCTGAGCCTCAGTTTCCTCATCTAAGAAATGGGGATATAATGACAGGGCTGCTATGAGAAGCAAATGAAATAACTACGTATGCAAAGTCCTTTGCAAATGTTAAAGGGTGCTTTTCTTAGTAGGTTATTCTTAAAGGGGTTACCCAGAGGGATGGATGCCAAGCTCTCTGCCCGATCTCAGTCCTGCAGCTTGAGGAATCCAGATGCTGGAGACCAGAGTCGAGGAGAAGCTTGGGGAGCATACAGCACCCACCGAGGCTCTGACCTTCACAGTGAAGGGGGTGGAGGAGACCTAGAGAGTCCCCTTACCCTATAAGGGGAAGGCTGACAGCCATACCCTGGGGGAGCTCCAGCATGTTGTGTCCAGTTCTGGGTACCGCAGGTTACCCAGAACCAGGGCGCCCACAGGGCAGAACGGGGAGCAGTAAATGGGGAGAAGGTGTCAAAGCCAATTAGGTCGGGATGTCAGGAAGAACTTCCTAATGACTCGAGGAGTCCCAAAGAGTACTCTTGGCCCTGCTGGAGATGGGGCAGGGCTCCTCTCTTTGGAGGTCCTCAGGCAGAGGTAGGGAACCGCTTCCAGCCTTCCTTTGGGGTGAGTCACGCCAGCTGCTGAAGGAGTCCCTTCCAACTCTGGGATATCAACAGGAGGGAAAGAGGCAAATGACCCCTCCGGGGCCTGTCTTGAACATTCCTCCTTCACTCTCCAGGGGGCTAATCCGGCATCCAGGGAAGGAAGAGGGGGAGGGGGAGGGGGAGGGGGAGGGGAGAGCAGCCCAGGCCCCGAAGAAGGGGACCCAGGGACCAAACCAGGACATGAATGGAATGGGATATTCCGCTAACAACGAACAGAAGGAACCTCGAGATTTCTATCAACCGACAAAGAGCCAAGAAAAGCGAACCGAGGCACAGTCTACAGGGCGGGAGGCAGGGTTCAAGAACGGTGCGTACGGCAGTGGCCGGTCTAATGGTGAAGGTCTCCAGACCTTTTGGCAGAGGCGGTGGACCCCACACGAGGAATGAGGCATATGTTGGTCACTGTGCTGTTTTGCTCGGTTATACTTTGTTGCAAGGGAGAGATCTATTTGGGGAGGGAGGGTGTGATTAAGGGTCAGTGATAGAATGAAAAAAAAAAACAAAAAAACCCCTATTTCCCTCTTTCTTTCTTTTTTTTTTTTTCCAAAGAGGAGGGCTCTTTGCGGGGGGGGGGGGGGAACACTACAGGTGTGGAACGTTGCACATACTATCAGGTTTGGTTGATACTTGGGTGAGTTTTGTAAAGTTGCTTTCCCTGCCCCTCCCTTTCTTTTTCTTTCTTTCTTAAGAGTAATGGTTCCCCAGGGAAGGGAGGCAGGATTTGTTTGGAAATGAAGGCGATAACTGGATGCCAATGGAAAGTCTAAAAAGGAAGGCCCCAATGGTATTAAGAGCCAGGTCTGCAGACCTCCTTGGGACGGTAGAAGCTTTGTCATCTTGGGCAAGTGACCGAACCCTTCTGGCTCAGTTTCCTCATCTGTACAATGGGGAAAATATTACTCATGTGACCTACCACAAAGAGTTAAAAGAGCTATAGTCTTTAAACTTGTCCTATCTGGGGGGTGGGGGACAGAAGCAGGGGGAGTGAGGGAGGTGAAGACTGAAGGGAAAAGAGAAAGGAGACAAGTCTCCCAGCTAGAATCAAACTCCATTTTATTGGGACAGAAGACCCTAAATGTGAGGATGGCCTTGGGGCCTCCTAATAAGTTAAAGGCACCAGGATCAGAGGCAGGATTGGGCAGAGGCGGGGCTCAGGAAGGCCTGGCCCCAGAGCCAGGGAAGCCCAGGCAGGGTGGAGGAGGGATGGGGCAGAAATGGGGGGCAGTAAACTTCCTGAGAAAACCTCCAGGGTCCTGGGGTTGATTGGACCACAGAGGACCAGGCAAGGAGCAATATCCCCCCCATCGACTCCAGCTCGCCTGTCTGGCAGAGTCAGAGGCACCTTGTAGTGGTCAGGAGGTGGAGGGCCCAGGTTCGAATCCCAACTCTGCTGCTGACTAGCTGGCTGTCTCTGGGCAAGGCACTATTGTGCTCCTCCCTTGGGGAGATCAGGGCATTGGCCTGGCCGGCCTTGGAGGTCTCTCTCAGCTCTAAACCCTAGGAGGGGGAGGGGATGCTCTCTGGAGGATCCGCCTTGGTCGTCATCTTCCCCCAGCCAGGCCCCTTCCCTAGCCTCTTCCTCCCGCCCAGCCTGGAGCTGTCCGGCCTCCAAGGATCCGGCCAGCTGTGTCCATTTCCGGGCTGCTGAGGCAGCAGTGGGATGGGGGGAGCTCCATCCCAGACACAGGCTCGGGGCTCATTTCTCAAAGTAAGGCAAGTAGAAAAACTGGAAGCCTCGGTGGCCCTTGACAGCGCAGTAAATGAAGATGACGTGGTATACTGAAAGGGAGGTGCCTGTCACCACCTGGACCTTTGTCATCCGGCCCCCCCCAGATCCCAGGAAGTGGGGGGGCCTCCCCTCTCCCCTCCCCCCACCAGGCCTGGGGTGCACCTCCAGGGACGAGCAGCAGGAAGCCAGGAACAAAGAAGATGGCACTAGACACACCTGTGGGGAGAGAGGTGGACAGGCGGAATTCAATCCCAGGCCCTGGGGACAGTGCCTGGGCCAAGGCTAGAGAAAAGTTAAGGGGGGGGATGGATATGCAAATGGTGGGCTGGCCAGCAATGACCCCCTCTTTTCTCCTCCCCATCCCCCATGCACCTCCCAAATTCCAGGGAAGGAGTCTGGGGTAAGAGAGCGCTCTCACCTGGAGAAGGGTTCACCTGCAGTCCTACCCCAATGAGGATGAGTGCTTCGGTCAGAAGGTCAGGAGAGAGGTCAGAAGGCAGGTGGGGGAATGGGGGTGCTAGGTCAGAGAATCTCTACTGATCACTGGATTTAACTTCTTAATCCCTCCTGGAACACTGCCCCCCCTTCCTTCAAGGCTCTCTGAAGGTGCTACCAGCCCCCCAGTCAGAGAGCCATAGATTTAGAGCAACCTTAGGGGCCAACTAGTTCAAGACCCTCATTTTCCAGGTGAGAAAACAGAGGCCCAGAGGGCACCCAGACATTACGTGGTCTTTTCTGCCTCCAAATCTACTACTCTCGGGCCCCCACCTCCCCCAAATGTATCAAATGCTTCCATGTTGCTTTTGTATTTACTCATCTGTGTGGTTCCTTCCCCCGGTAAGACGTCAGCTTCTTGGGACCACAGGGGGCTTCATCGACGTCTTTGGGAGCCTAACATCTAGCTTAGTGCTTGCTAGTGGTACCATTTTAGAAGACAAGGAAACAAGCCCAGAAAGGGAAAGTGATGCAGCTCACACAGCTTTGCCATTAATGGAGGCAATTAGAGATCTGGGTGGGTGTAGGAGTTCTGGGGGGGCACAGGGATCTTCTCTAAGCTCGGGCTTCCTTCAGCCCCTCCCCTGATTTTCTCCATAGGCCAGGCACTCCTCAGATCCCTAAATTGGCTCCATTCTCTCTTGGACTTGAAGTCAACTGATGGACTTTAAAGATTAGAATTAGATCTTGGATTTGGAAGGAAGCCCAGACACAGCCTCGTCCAAGTCCTTACCTGAAACATGACTTCCTTCCTTCCTTCCTTCCTCCCTCCTTCCTTCCCTCCCAGCTCCCAGCTCCATCCCCAACTCCCGCCAGCTCACAATAGGAAGGCCAGTGGCTAGTCATAGTGTGAGCCCGGGGCATGTGGCCCCATCCAGCCCCTAGGGACAGGAACCCTGGGTGGGAAGGGGCAGGCCAGGGAGCCAGACACTCACTGAAGCCCAGTAACAACAGCAGGAAGGAGGCCAGAACCACCCGGCGATTCTTCTGGATCAGAGGGTGTTGTGTCCAGCTGAGGCCACACAAGAAATCTTACATAATGATACTGACCACGGTAAAAATAACAGATCACACTCGTATAACATTTTAAATAGCTATCAATCATCTCACTTATCCCCATTTTGTGGACAGGGAAACTGAGACCCAGAGAGGTTACAGTCACTGAGCAAGTCAGGGGTGGAGTTAAGACTGGTTTCTGGATTCCAAGCCCAGTGCCCTGATAGGAAGGAGTGTTAGATAAGGATGGGGCTGGGCTGTAGAGGGCATCTGGGAAGAAGGGGAGGAAAAGGCAGGTTCGGGGCTTATCCCTTGCCATCTGGACAGGGGTGGAGACAGGCCCAAGGCCTGAAGCCTCAGAGGAGGGAGGGGGCCCTGCCCCTCACCTGCAGCAGGCACGATAGGAGCGCTGAGTGCTGTTGCTGATGGTACTGAAGGACCATTGAGAACTTCGGGTGGAGGAGCACCCAGGGTCCCTGCTGGAAGAGGCCACACTGAGCAGGGGGTCCCCTGGGCAGGCCAGGAGTGGAAGGAGGGCAGGAAGGGCCAGGGGGTCAGTCTAACCTGAGCTTCATAGCTCCATCAGGATCCGAGGGGATCCGGGCACCATCCTCGTCATTCTCCAAGTTCTGCTCAAAATAAAACAGCCCTGATTGTTAGGGCATAGAGGGGATTTCCTGAGACTCCCTCCTCTTCCCTCACCAGCCTGAGGGCAGCCCTGATTGTCCTCTGACAGCTGCTCACCAGCCTAACAAGTTTGATGATTCACAGAAACCGAAACCAGTTCCGAGGTGGGTGACTTAGAAGGCTGAGTAAGAGCCGAGGCTGGGAGGTGCCTGCCCAGCGAGGCAGGGCTGGCAGCAGCTCTGGGGAGGGTGTTTGCAGGGGTGTGAGCTGGAAGACTGTCCGAGGAAGAGGACTAGGATCTGGGGGGGGGGGGGTGCTTGTGTAAGGGAAGGGCCCTGGCCGAGAAGCTCCCACTCACCAGGACGCAAGGGCCTCGGGCGGCCCTCTTCTCTTCCGTATCTGTAAAAAGGGGGGGGGCTTGATTTCTAGGGGTTCTTCCAGTCTTATGACTTTCGACTTCGGGCCAGGGAAGGGGCCAGTAAGATCCTGGGAGCCAAAGCCGGAAGGGGCCTCTGCGAGGAGCCAGTGCCATTCCCCCATTTTACAGACGAGGAAACTGAGGCGCTGAGAGCCCAGGGGGCCGGTCAGGGGCTAGCGCGTGGAAAGGGCGGCGCTGTTTTCTCACCTGGTACTTGAGACGAGACTGTTTCTCGCCCTCTTCTTCCGCGTCTCCCCGGCCCTTGCGCTCAAAGTGCAGCGCTCCAAAGCGCGGGGGAGTCCCCCCGGGCCCCGGGCCCCCCTCCTCCAGGGACAATTCAAAGGCATCATCGATGCTGAATTCGGAGCGGCCGCTGCTCATGGCTCGGACCCCCGCATGGAGCTGCCCTGCAGCTGTGCCCAGCTGCCCGCGGCTGGCCCGCCCGGGGCCGGCTCTCAGAGGCCCATGGTCCGTGCCGCGCTGATCAGGGCACTGGACTGGCCAGTTGGCACCGGGATCTACCTCGAATCTCGCCTCCGCCTGCCGGGACGCTGGCACTCACTCCAGCCCCAGAGTGGGGTGGGGGAGGGGGAAGGGGGCTGCTGGGGGAGGGGTGAAGGAGGAGCTAGGGCTCCCACCCCGCCCCCCCACGGGAGGCGAGGCACGAGCAGTCAACAACCGCCTATGGCCGGATAGCTTCACCTAGCCGGGGTGGGGAGGAGGAGGGAGGAGCACCAGTTGGGGGGAGGGGTGAGTTGGGAGGAAGGAGGAAACTCCACTTCGCCAGTGAGTGCTAGATGTGGGAGGTGGGATGAGTTTAAGCAATTCCTCTGAAAAAGATCTGACGGTTCCAATGGCCTGCAAACTCAATCCGATTTAAGAGTGTGAAGTGGCAGCCTAGGAGGCTCAGGCCCTTAGATTTAAGCACAACATACAGAAGAAAGTCCGTGCAGCACGTCGGTCAACAAGCATTTGTTAATTATCGGCTAAGGAGGGACAGCTGGGTAGTGCAGTGGCTTAGTGTGCTGGGCCAGAAGTCAGAAGACTTGAGTTTATGCTCAGACTCTCACTAGTAATGTAACCTCATTGTTGTTCAGTCACATGGACTCTTTGTGACCCCTTTTGGGGGTGGATACTAGAGCGGTTTGCCACTTTCTTCTCCAGTTTATTTTACAGATGAGGAAACTGAGGCAAGCAGGGTGAAGTGACTTGCCCATGGTCATACCGGAAGTGCCTGAGTTTGGGTTTGGACTCAGGAAGAGGAGTCTTCCTGGCTCAAAGCCTCGACCTCAATCCAGCCACCTAGCTGTGTGACCTTAGACAAGTCATTTAACCTCTGTTTGCCCAGGTTTCCTTATCTCTAAAATGGAAATAATAATAGCAACCTCCCAAGGTTATTGTGAGGATCAAATAAGATAATAATTATAAAGTGCTTAGTGCAGCGCCTGGCACATAGTAAGTGTTATGTAAATGTTTGCTGTCATTATTATTATTATTATTACTAAGTGCCAGGCACCACGCTAATTTCTGGAGCTACAAAGACAAAAGTGAAGTGGTTGGAACACGTGGCCCAGGGTTACCAGAGAACTCAACTGAGTGGATGGGTCTTGGGACGTGACCCCAAGGGGATAACTTTCAATCTTTCTTTTGTTTCCCTGTCCTCATCTGCAGTTACTCCAAGAAAAGCCAATATACTCATGGTATAATTCATGTCTAAGTTTCTCCAAATGTAAGTGCCCTGTTACAGGCACTCAAGGTAACAAATACACCAGGAGTACAGGACAGCCTTCACCTCTGGCCACAGAAAAAGCAGACAGTACAAAACATCCACAGGAGCCTGTAAGCAGATTCATAAAGCACTCAAATAATTCCTGAGCTCCTTCAAAAGGAAACTGAATGTTGCTTTGCGACCCATTCAGACACTTGACATTCTGGTCAGTGGCTCTTTCCCATAAAATTTTGCAAAACCCCCCCCCCCCCCCCCCAGTGGTTTATTACAGTCAAGTGAAACTCAAAAAGGAATCCTGTGGGCTGAATATTGACTTAGAAAACCCACAAACAATCCTGACCGGTGTTGTATTGTATTTGTATTTAATTTGTTAAACATTTCCCAATGACATTCTAATCTGGCTCCTACCTCACTTGGGAGTTTTGACTCCCCTTCTCCCCAAAAGTTAACTACAGTTTGGGGACTCCAGCTCCAGCAGCGCTCTTCCTGTCCTGCTTCTCTGTCCATGTAAGCCACTGGCTTTGTCCTTTAAGTAGGACACTGCCCAAAGGACTAGGAGGATTATCCTTTTTTTTCTCCAAGTAGTCCCCCCTCCCCCACCCCAGCAGGAAATCCTGTCTTCTGAAGGTCAATCCCAGAAGGAAGATGAGTTCCAGAAACACCTATCTTCTCAGGCCATGCTAAATGATTTAGAATTATGATCTAAGTTGATCCTCGAAACGACCCTGGGAAGGAAGTGCTATTCTTATCCTTATTTTACAGACAAAGAAACTGAGGCAAACAGGGATTAAACGAATTGTCCAGGGTCACATAGCTACTAGGTATATCTGTGGTCACATTTGAACTCAGGTCTTCCTGACTCCAGGCCTGGTTCTCTACCCACTCACCCAACTGCTGTTAAACTACACTGTGGGGGTGGGGAGCAGAGGAGAGGGGAGGAAGAGTGAAATCCTGAAGCCCTGATTGCTAACCTCTTGAAGAAGGCCCACGGGAAAAGGTGAGGGGGAATCCTGGAGATGATGAGAGTGAGTTGAGGCCACGCTCTGAGTGTCAGCCAGCCAACCTTCTGGCGACTCCTTGGGCTAGTGTTCCACAGCAAAGTGGAAACTGGCTGGTTTTGGAGTCCGAGGACGTGAGTGCCAACCTTGCTTCCGTCACTTTCTGGGTGACCCTGGACAAGTCACTTCCCCTCCACATCTGGGAAATGAGGAGATTAGACTCCATAACTCCAGGGTCCCTTCCAGCTCTGGATACAGGATGTGTGTGATCCATAGGGAGGTGTCCCTCCGAGGCTTCCAAACCTTTGTTTGCCTTGTTATCTCATCAGAGGCTCTTCTGATGACACCCCCCCTTCCCCCTTATATATTCTTTTTTCCCCCCTTTTTTTTGGGCTAGGCAGTGGGGTTAAATGACTCACCCAGGGTCACACAGCTAGTAAGTGTTATGTGTCTGAGGCCAGATTTGAACTCGGGTCCTCCTGAATTCAGGGCCGGTGCTCTATCCACTGTGCCACCTAGCTGGCCCACCCTTTATATATTCTAATGGGGGAAAATGACATTTACAAAGAGAAATCAATCCAAAGGGACTGAACCTGAGATTTCATTGAGAACTCCCAGGTGAGGATGCCCCTTTGTAGTCTATTTATAGTCTCAGAGAGTTTTTAACCACTGCATGGGTGTTGCCTCAGACAAACTGAGATCTGGAAAAGACCTTAGCTTAAAAAGGTCAAGGCCTCCCAACTGCACCCTGGGTCATCGAGAGATGTCCTGATTTATATCCTGCCACTGGACTCTGATGACTCAGGAGGAGAGAGTGAGGCTGGTGACTCTGTGCAGTCGTCCCTCACTTCAATCCAATTGACTTGTACGTCATGACATCACCCTCCTGATGTCATTGGTCCTCTTTAAGAATGAAGGATGGGCTTAGATTCTTATAATCTAGCCAATAGCTTGCTAATGTTCAGGCTCCTTAAGAGTCTGCCCAATATGATGGATGTTCTAATAAACCTTGTCTTTGGCTGAAAGAAGGCTTGGGTCGAATTCTTTCGGGCCGGACCTGCATGTTGTGATTTTGGGGTCCCAGCACCCCTGAACCCCTAAGCCACATCATATCCACTGAGCCACCTAGCTGCCCCTTAAATATTTTTTTAAAAACAAGTTCTTGGAGTGGCAGCTAGGTGGCGCAGCGGATAGAGCTCTGGCCTTGGAGTTGGAAGGACCTGAGTTCAAATGTGACCTCAGATACTTTACTAGCTGTGTGACCCTGGGCAAGTCACTTAACCCTGATTGCCTGACCAAAAAAAAAAAAAAAAAAAAAAAGAAACACGTTCGGGGGCTGCAGGTTAAGAATCCCTGGGATGACATAATTATACAATTATCATCTACATTTTCACTATAGATGACTATATACGTGGATTCAGAACAGGTGAAATGACAATATTCAAAGAGTCTAAGCTCTCCTCACTTCTCACTTGTACTATTGCTATAACCTCCTGATTATTCTCTCTACATCTAGTTTCTCTCCTTTACAATCCAACCTGTATGCATAGAGCAAAGGCCCTGGAGTCAGGAGGTCCTTAGTTCAAATCCAGCCTCAGACACTTACTAGCTATATGATGCTGGGCAACTCACTTAACCCCGATTGCCTCCAGAAAAAAAAAAAGAATGAAGGATGAAGGGGCAGCTAGGGGGCGCAGTGGATAGAGCACCGGCCCTGAAATCAGGAGGACCTGAGTTCAAATTCGGTCTCCAACCAAGGACTTGACACTAGCTAGACCCTGGGCAAGTCACTTAACCCTAATTGCCTTAAAAAAAAAAAAAAATGAAGGATGAACAACAATTTGTGAGCAGTAGTAGCTGCACCTGGAGGACCTAACAGGCCAGTTCTAGTTGGTCAGTGCTGCTATTTTTCCCTCCTCCTCCCCGTCCTTCCTCTGTCCTGTGGGGAGTCACACCCTTACATGTGAGCCCTCTGTCCAAAGGAATATAAATTTTGATTGCTTATACTTCATGAAGTATCTTGGGGTTTGGGAGCTAGATTTTTTTCTTCCCTACTTATTTATTCTATCATTTTTTGAAAAAAAAAAAGTGTGACAATTGGGGCAGCTAGGTGGTGCAGTAGATAGAACACTGGCCATGAAGTCAGGAGGACCTGAGTTCAAAACAGATCTCAGACATTCGATATTTACTAGCTGTGTGACCCTGGGCAAAGTCACTTAATACCATTGCCTAGCGAAAAAACCCCCAAAAAACCAAAACTGGGACAATTAACTTTTTGTCTCATATAGTTTTCATTTACGATTTCTTGGAAAACCAGGCTTTGATAAAGCCCATTGGGTTTCAGATGGAGCAACTGGACCATGGCTTTAAAGCCACATCACTCTGGCTCTCACTGATTGGCCCATAACAGGCCCCAGCCCAAGCCTCCCCCCTCCTCCCCCCACCTTGTCTGACTGTTCCTTCATCTCCTTTGCGGGCTCCTCCTTCCCATCTCGCCCTCTAACTGTGGGTGTTCTCCAAGGTGCTGCCTGGTTGTCTCCTCTTCTGTCTACGTTTCTCCCTTGGCAACCCCATCAGCTCTCATTGGTTAAAAACATCTCTACACCAAGGACTTCCAAATCTACATCACCACATCCCTAATCTCCACCCTGGACTGACTCTCTCTGCCCCCTCTCAGTCTTTCTGTCTCCTCTCTGTCTCTGTCTCTCTCCTCTCTCAATCTTGTCTCCTCTCTCTCTGTCTCTTTCCTCTCTCTTTCCCCTCTCTCTCCTCTTCTCTCTCTCTCTCTCTCTTCCTCCCTCCCTTCCTCTCTCCTCTCTCTCTCCCTTTTCTCTCTCTGTCTCCTCTCACTC